TTAAGTCTAATCGAATACTCATACTTCACTTTCAAAATACCTTTATAAGACGTCATTTTTATTAAGTTGAAAGCATTATAATAAAAAAATTCTTTAGTGAGCTCAAATCTATGTGAATCAGAGCGATTAGAGAAAATTAAAAAAAGTGATTTAAACTCGTAGCCAATGCTTTCTTCAGATCTTTCTTCTCTCAAAATGTTTCTCTTTCATTTTCCAAATTCCTTTCACCAGTCCTAGCAAAGGTTTTACCCTTTTTCACTGACTTATATTTCAAATCTATGGTTGTGTTTCCTATAAACAACAACGAATCATGATGACGATGATTTTGATGAGGACGATGGTTTTTATGAATTATTGTTATGAAAAAGATATTTGTTCAGTAAAATAGTAAAGATTTACCCCGGGGTATTTCAAGTATTTTACCCCTGGGTGACGGGGTCGGGCCCCCAGGGTGGACACTCTAGTAATAAATTGACAAGTAAAATACTTACCCATTTTCTATTTTTCATTTAAAAAATTTTTTTAATTTCGGTGTCTAAAACTTACTTTTCAATTACTATGGTTAAAATGAAATCTGTGTTACCCCACTAATCGAGTATTATGCACCCACTAATCAAATATTGGTTATAAAAAAATTTAAGCACACTAAACGAAAACGCATTAATCGAGGGATCCCTGTACACCTAAGTTCCAACCATCCAGTGAGGATAACTACAAAGTTTATTGGATTGGCCTGGACATTGTACAGAACCATAACATTAACTCACACTTTTATTATTTTAGACAATTCTAGTTGCAACCACTGTACTGTAAACAAGCTGATAAATCCTCTCCCACAATGTTCTTGGAGCCAGGATTATGATAAGCTGCGAAAAAGTTCTAATAATTGTTGTGCATGAGCTCTGCTACCAATAGTGTAACGTAAACAGTCCAATAGCAGAAGCAGTGAGTCACTGCTTTATGATCTTCACATTTCTCCTTCAGCAGCTAACAATAAAATATACATAGGAAATAGATGTGAAAAGGTTAGAAGAAGAAACTC